CATTCTTTCAGTGAATTCACAGAACTTCTCAAAAAAGTGCCCAGTGTTTTCTTCCTTCTCTACAACGTGAGTTAAATTTAATCCCAACATCTAACATGTACATGCATAAGTACATAGTGGAGGAGGAGAGAAAGGAGAACCAGCTCATTTTAAAATTACAAAATAATAAAAACCAATTTAAAACAATATTGCTTCTTCTGCTAACGCTGAGTCAACTTCACATTAATGACAAATCTCCTGCTCTGCCATGAATCAGAAACAAACCTCAGTTGGAATACACCCTTTGTCACCCTTTTATCTACCCCAGTATTACAAAAGCTTTGGCTCATAAGCTAAAAATAGCTGATCTGTTTTGCCACAGCAGTAACATACAATGCCTGAGCAAGTTCCAAACATAAAAAGCTTTGGGAATCTGTAATCAATGGAACAACACGGAAAGCAAAGTTCTTTTGGTCTTTTACTACAGTGGCAGAAACCACAGCGCAATCTGTATGGGGAGAGTTAGGCATCTACCCTGTGGCTCCTACTGAGCAAAGCCACCAGTACATGGCCCAAACTTGGCAAGGCTGTTAGAGACATCCTTATGCTTTTGGCAGAAGGGAGCTGACCACTTTCAGCATCAGTGTCCTCTGCCAGCTGGCCAAAGAGCACACAGATGCAAGGGAAGCAAATTATCTGCCCGCTGGCAAAAAGAAATGCTGAGCATCACGTAAGGAAAAACCCTGTGTATGGAGGAGTCCACATGTGTGACTGAGTATGCATGTGAGCATGTATATATATATGTTTACATATATGTACATCTGCACCTGGGCATTGGGAAAAAGAAAAAATGCAGTTCATCTGGCAAAATTGTCTGCTGCTAGTCCTGTGGTATCATTTTCTGTAACGTTCTCACAGAAACAAACTGCACTTTGACTGAAATCTGAGCTGAATCTTCAACATTAAACAAAGGACTGCAGGATGCTAGAGAATGATTTTCAAAGAAAGTCAGAAATCTGACCCCATTAAGAAAGTGCCCATACAATCAGTCAAGTGATTTTGGCAACTTAAAGTAAGCATGTAATTACATTTACCCTCTTGTCTTTCCCTTTTCTTTTTGGTTTCTTAAAAAAGGAATGCCTGCAGGAAAAAAAAAAAAAAAAGAAGAAGAAAGAAAGAAAGAAAAAAAAACAAAAAACACTACACCAAAATTTAGTCAAACAGCCTTCTGGGCTCAGAAGATGCACAAGAAATGACAGAAAAAATAATGGGACAGGAACATGCAGCCAGTAGGCTGGGTGCAGCTGAGAGAGTGAATCTGCCTGTAGATTACTGAGATTCTGCCATCAAATCCCTTCCTCCCGTACACATCCCATCGCTATCATTACATGATCAACAGATTTTTATGAAAACTAATGCTTTCTTCAGAGAAATTCCGTGGGAACTATGTATATCATTGACTACGCTTCTAAATATTTCTTGAAAACTGTATGTAATGCACGAGCACATTTGTTGGCTGTAAAGGTGTACAACAGCAATTTTTTGCAATGACAGTGCAGAGAGGGAATATGAGATCTGTGTGCTAATGAGCTGACACTGCAGAGGCTAGAGCAGTGTTAGTATAGTGCACTACAAGTGCAGAGCAGAAAGACATACATGGGCTATTTCTAGAGAATACAATCCACAGAACCACACATAATTCAACATTAATACTAACATCCTTCATCACAGATTGCAATGAAAACGTGAAAGGTGCTTCTAGTGATGAATTTATATCTTTCAGTTGTTATAGCAATGTTATTTTGAAAGAAAAGAGCTTGCTCACACTGAGCTTCTTGAAGAAAACACCCATGTTTTAGCTCATTTTAGACATTCAGGTAACTTTCTTCCTTTCTGTTTTTCTCTGATTGCAAAAAGCTTTCTATTCTAAAAGGTACAATAAATCCTGCCAAGGCTAAATGATAAACTTTAATTCACCTCTAATACGCTGGAATTTTCCTCTGTGTTTGCATATCTTCTCTGCGAAGATATCACACAGCTAAATAAATAGATGAGTAGATAAACACAGAGTGAATGAATACCTTCTGCACGCGTGTAAATTAAATATACAGAGAGAGGCTCGGTGCTAGCAGTGAAGCAGAGAATGCATGTACATGAATCAGATTATGCATCATTTAACTGAAAAAGGAATGAGAAGGAGGGGCTTAGGGCAGGAATTTTCTTTTGCTTCTAAACAACTTTGTTCTCATGTTGGGATACTGCCAAATCAAGCCTACTGGAGGTGGGCCTTTTATCTCTGGCTCATGAGGACACTTTAGAAGAGATTTTTTTTCCTGCCTCGGGAATGCACCAGATTGCAGCAAGTGGGATGTGCAGTAGTACAGTAAAAACTTAAGTCTCTTCTGAGCAGAGCCCAATTCCTACACACATGAACGCTTACTACAGCTAGTACTGTACAACACAGAGCAAAGAATACAAATTATTAGTTGATGGATACGGCCTCGCAGAGGCACTAAGCTCAACCCGCATAGGCTACTTTGCCTGATTTCCCTTCAGCTTCATTATATATCCCATCACAAAGTCAGTCACAGCCTTTGTCTCTGGTGCAGACAGAGTCACTGCAGCTTTCTCTCATATGGATTCCTGCCAATTGCAAATATTGATCAAAAGGTTGTGTGACAGCACCGGAGACAATTTATGCTTATCTTCAAGAGAAGCAAAAATGTTGTGGGAAGAATTCCTTCGTGGCTGCACCCTGAAATTATCTGCCACTCCAGGAGGAAGCAACGATAGGATTAGGGGCTTGGGAGCCAGCATCTTTTACATGTTAGCCATGTAGCATGAGGGGCTTAATTCATTCATCCCAATGCACTGATATGTATGAGCGTTCTGATCTTCAAAGACAATTGCTTGCAGATCTAGCAAGAGCAACTGTTCTACTTCCTTCTTCCTTCCTTCCTTCCTTCCTTCCTTCCTTCCTTCCTTCCTTCCTTCCTTCCTTTCTTTCTTTCTTTCTTTCTTTCTTTCTTTCTTTCTTTCTTTCTT